TGACCCGAAATTTTTAATTTATTTAGCCAACATAATTTTTTGTATACTTTAAATAAATTCTTTTAGACTCGAAAACTGTACGCAAATACTAAATAAATAACTAATGAAAACCTTGAACGTTTCAAAAAATGTAATAAATTTTCTTATTTTTTCAGCTGTACAGTATTACGATTGATACATGAAAAACATGAAAAAAAAAAAAAACATTTTTATTTTTATTAGTAGTAGTATATTACTATTTGTTTTTCAAGAAAAGAAAAAAAAACGAGGATATTTTCCGAGTAGATGGAAAACCAATAAATAAATAAAAGACCCTCGTGTTTGGCAAGTGCTCCTACTTGACCAAAACAAACCGCTAGATTATTGGTATCCCCGTTGGTGAATCGAGTGCCTTACAGCCAAGATTAAACTTTGCTTTTTCTTTGAAAATATTTTTGTTTACAACCCTAACATATCCTTGTACCTTGTACTTCTTACGTTTACGAAGGATTTATTAAAGACCACGTTTTATATAGACACCGTACCCTCGTAACCCATTTCCTTGGCTATACACGTGCAAGTCACGAATTCATTGGAGCGCCCGAGAAATTGAAAGTCACTGTTTAAATATCTTCAAAAATGTCACTCTCATGAAAAATGTAGGTCCTCGGGCTTCCCGGACAAAAAAGACCCACACCACCTAAATGGAAAAATAGGTCTTCCATCGAATAATGAAAATCATGGTATTTAATCAGAAGGAAAAAAAAATTGTTTTTGTATGTACATTCCATTACATCTAGTATTAATCAATTCGTTGTTTAAATACCGATCGAACTTTCAGATAACAAACCAAACCATGTTTGTAATTCAAGGATCTATTCACCATGTACTGCTAGTGTCAAACAGATGAAGGTCGTGAGGACTATTGTAGTAATGATAATTTTAAATATAATTTCAATAATAATAATAATATTAATAACACAATAAAATATAAAGGTAACAACAGATACTATGACAAAATTTTGAAAAAAAAAAAAAAAATCATAATCCTGCATGAAAAGTAATAAACGAATCAATATCGCCGATTTCAGCCCTATATTTGATGTATTAAAAATTTTCATTATTCAAGGAGCACACAAAGCTTCATCTAACATGAATTCGTATACTTAAATCATGACTCCCAACTTTCGCTATATGTTGCTGATTTTCATACAGAATTTGAGAGTAACTTCCTAATCGATTTCCTTAAAGCCATAATAATCTATTATTAGAAATAGGAACTACTTTTTAAATTATTTCTGCATGACATGGCATAATAAAAGCTTTTTCAAGTTTGATGAATTTATTTTTATTGGAAACCTAAAAAATAATAATACACTTTGGAAATTACTTTTAAATGTTTTAAAATAAATACAGTTCATGTAAATCTACCTATGAGGCTTTACAACAACAAAAATGTTAAAACGAAATAATCGTTATAATTTAGGAGTGCAATGGAAATCAACAAACCTCATATTTCAATTCAGTTTTAAATATTTTAAAAAGTTTCTGTAAGAGTCACTTCTAATTTTAAATGGAGTTTTTGTACCATATAAATATGATTATTTTAAAAAAAAGTCTTTAATGTATGTTGAATTTTTTTTTTTTCTAATTATGATTTTTTTTGACGACTTTATGAGAAAATATATTAAATTTTGGAAAAATTTAATAAAAATAAAAAAAACATTTAGTAAC